AATATATATATATGTGTGTGTGTGTGTGTGTTATATATATATATATATATATATATATATAGAGAGAGAGAGAGAGAGAGTTTAATTTTATAAAAAAACAGGAAAGACTTTATCCACAGTTTTCAGAATGTAAATACAAATTACATCAAACCACAATTTCTCCATAAAGGTTACCATGCCAAAGTGGGGTTAGCTGTAGTACTAATATTTTAAATGATTTGTGTATATAGTGTTAGGATCTGTCGGAGAGAACCAGATTACTTCATGAATTAGTTACTTACTTGCTAGTGTAATCAGTCCTTTGTCTGTAACTTTGGTCTCGCACAAGTTAAGCACCTCCAGTTTGTAAAGGTGTTCTGAAATCAACATTACACCTGAATCGTCGAACTGCAAGGAACAAATGTTAAGGAATAAGAACATATATTAAAACTAGTTTAATAAAAGATCAATATTTTGGTTTGTGTTCTTCATATCATAATTCACCCTACAAACCTGCAAAGATAACCTAACTGCTAAACTTAGCTGCAATGAAAGAGCATAAAGGTGTGTGTGTCTATATATATATGTATATATGTTTTAAACATTAAGCCATTTTTCAGACCAAAGCCTCTATATATAAAACTGCCGAGAGCTGACATTACTCTTCTCAGCTAGTCATGTTGATTTCGTTATTTAATTTAATCTTATATGATTACATATCACGGTTTAAAATGATTTTTCTGAAATTATTGATCATCTAAGCAGATTTAAGCACAACTGATTTTAAAATGTGTGAGTTATAATAAATTTAATTGTAAATATAAATTTGGATGCATAACCTCATAGTGCATGTTTGTGATTTTGAAGATGTTATTGGCAGGTTGATATGAGAGAGTGCTTCACACAGTCAACAGTATTAATCCAATCAGAAGGTAGAATGTGAAATTAGTGACAAATTGCAGTGTTTTTCCATCATGTTATATATATATTTATTTATTTAATTTAGACATTTCTTTCACTTACAATAAATGTACATTTTCAGTAAGCTAATGTAAGCAGTAAATTAATAATTTATTTTGTTTTAAAGTAATTAAGTAATGTCAAAAATATTATATATCTCTAAACACAGCAACAAGTTAAAACTGACAAGTGATACATTGTCACCAAATGCATTCTATTAACATGATGAGCAAATTGAATTATTATATCATTGTGCACTTACTTGAGGTATTCATTTTTTCATTATTAAAGTTATCAACCCATGTGAAGGTAAGCATCACTGGTCTCATTCAGTTAGTATGATGTGATGTGATAGCATAGGCTCACCTGAGTAGACCAGAGATTGAGGTAACGTAAAGAAGGAAGCTTTATTAAGTGTTCAGCACTGACACTTGTGACCTTGGTAAAAGCAAGAGACAACCATTCCAAGTTTCCAAAAGGACCAGAGCTCAGCAATTGATGTAAGTCACTGTCCTGTAATAAGATTTAGAATCACATTTCAGACAAATAATTCTTATAGGTCTCTTTTTATGACAAGAGGCTTAGAACCATGATTCAGACAGACATAAAGAAATAATTTTATTGCAGTATGAAATTTTCAAGCAAATTGTTATTATTATACACAAACGCACAGAGTATCTACATTCTACACAGTTAAATCCGCCTTCAAGCACACTTGGGGACAGATTTAAAATGTTCCCATACCAACCTACAACCAGTGCTTGAAGTGGGTGAGATGCCATCTGACTTCTTTTCAGGAGGGCTGTGCCTGGCATGGCCAGGTGGATAAGGCGCTCGACTCACAATCTGAAGGTCGCGGGTTCGAATCC